CTCTCTCTCTCTCTCTCTCTCTCTCTCTCTCTCTCTCTCTCTCTCTCTCTATCATCAATTGCTCTATCTATCTATCTATCTATCTATCTATCTATCTATCTATCTATCTATCTATCTATCTATCTATCTAGAATCGGGATAATTTTGAAACAAAATAAAATTGGATACAATTGGAATAAAATTAAACTGGGACTCAACAGCAATCAAATGGAATTAAATACAATTAGGATACAACTGTGAATACATTGAGCGAAAATTGACTAGGGGGGGGAATCCCTGCAGGGAGTCATGAGTGACAGTCACAGCTTTCTGCAGGGAGACGATCGGGAGGTGAGCGAGCGACGGTATGTGTCCGCTCACTGCCCGATCTATTCAGCCGACCTGTGACAGTTTCATTGTCACACGTCGGCTCAAACCATGAGGTGAGTGAAAATCACTCACCTCATAGTTCTCGTTTAATTAATCATGTGAAAAACAAATTCCTGCTTATTTATTTCATCTGCACATGATCGGGTATGCAAAGTGAACACAGCTATAATTTATTAAGTGAAGATTCTCAACTTCTTTAGTAAATCAGTCCACAATCTTGGTTTTAATAATGAATGTCTCTTATTTGCTCCCTTTTGGTCTGTTAAATATGCCATTGAAATCGTTTCATTATATCTGATCAATATTTGTATAAAATACTGATTAAATCTGATCGCTTCCTGTGCTCTCTGCCTGTGCTGCCTCTCATTAGTTACACTGTTCTTAGCTATCTCTGAGGACTATAGAACCCCCTCCTTCTATGTCATGGAGAAGAGGAGAGATGAGTTATTGTAGCCCTGGCTTAGGGTGACAATTCTGCTCCTCCATACAGTACGGTGAATAGGCGTCATCATCCGAGGACAGGAAATGCGTTACTGGCAGGATCACCAAGAGAAAATAAAGGAAGAAAGTCCAAAAAAAGAAGAAAATGATTGCAGCCACCACATACAATGACTGCTAAGCTGCACTGTATAACATTGCTGATCTTGAGTCCAGCTACACTTTATTATGACTATGGATGGTTGCAAACCTTAACTGGCAACCTAACCTAACAACCCAAGAATAGGAAATGTGCATGGACTACAAAAAACCCCCCTCTTCTCTCTTTGCCAATCTCCACAACCTAGGTGAGATGTCTTCTGTAACCCACAGAAAGAACTGGGAACAATGTAACTGATCAGTCAACACAGGCAGAAGGCACAGGAAGAAAATCATTTGCACTTTTTGGGAAGATAAAACACTTTCACTTGTATAATAACAAAGCAAAAGAGAACAAATGAGAGAACTTCATTGTTACTTAAAAGTGAAAAAGTCTGGTGGGTCGTTCCTCAGGGTATGTTGCCCCCCTCCCATCCAACCCCCGCCACCACGATATATTCATACACTGTACTCACATTAATGAATCCACAGATTTAGGCTTTATGAAGATCGCTATTGGATATAGTTGTGCTACTTGTAACCGCTTGATAGCGTTTCCTGATACGTCTAGAATGCAATGCTTCCCCTTGTGAAAACAAATAAAGACGAGTCAGGAGAAAAAGGATCAGAACATACAGAGAACACAATGCCAAGAGCGCAAACTGACCCCAGCCACCCTTACATCCTTCTATTTTTACTATATCTATAACCAATAAAAATATATATATATATATATATATTGTGACATAAGGAAAGGGGAAGTCATTGAGGGGCGATATATTTCCCCTCTCTTTCTATCATATGTACAGGACTAGTGGAACCCAGACCAGGTTTTCGGGTAGACTTTGGGTCTGGGTAATCCAGTTTGGGTTTTTTGTCCCTCACCTGGATTGTTAGATTTATTGATTAATGATTGATTATCCAGGTGAGATAAAAGGGGGAAGGCTGGAGCATGATGTTGCTCTGGCCTGGGACTCAGGCAGCATTCTGAGAGAGCTACAAGTTGATGTGTGTGAGTAAAAGGTTGCCCGAAATACTTGGGTTTTGTGAGGTGACTGAGATAAGCTCACCTATACACCATGAGTAGCTACCCCGAAAGTAAGACCTAGCGCTATCTTCAGGGATAAGACCTACCACTAAACTAGGTCTTACACACACACACAACAAATATTTATTTTGAATACAGTAAAAAACAGAACACCGGACCTCATACACAGCAAAGTAGGTTATCGAGTATGAGTGCCGATATTTTTCTTTCTGGTACTCACCGATACCGAATACTGATACCAGAAGTCTGGTATTGACTTGCCACCCGGCTTTCTGATTAGCTGGGAAGCCGTCACCAGGTGATGAAGAAGCATGGAGCCGGCTTTCAGAAACCTGGGGGTGCGGTTAATTACTTGCTGCCCAGCATTCTTATTGGCCAGCTTCCCGACCAATCAGGAAGCCGGGCAGCGAGTCATTACACGCCGACTGGCTTCCTTAATAGGACTTCTGGTGACGAGGGAGCATGGAGCCGGCTTCCTGGCCAATCAGGAAGCCGGGCAGCATGTAATGACTTGCCGCCCGGCTTCCTGATACCAGAAGTTCCGGGAATAGGAGAAGCATCGGGAGCATTTGGGCGAGTACGAGTACTTACCCAAATATTCTGTATTGATGCATCCCTACAGCAAAGTCTCCTCAGAACAGAAGGTATTCATATACGTCATTCCATCACATATCCCAAAAATAAAAGAAACATTCCTCATCTCAGGGCAGTGGGTGGAGCCATTCAAATCATTGCTATACGGCTGGTGTATAGCTCAAATATAGCCTAATATTATAGAGCCATATAATAAAAATTGCAAATGTGAAACAGCTTTTTTCCCTTTAAAGCTGAACTCCGGGATCATCAAATATTGTCCTCATACAAGAATCATATATTCGTCTTGAACCTTGGTGAACTTTGTGTATTTCTTCCAGGTCTGTGCAGTCATCCAGTGTGAGACTAGGAGCTTCCTGTAATAAAGACCGGTCACTGCTGCTCTGCTTGTGCAGGGTGACTGCTCTTGTCTCCGCCCCCTCCTGTAGTTCTCTACAGACAGCTTGCAGTGGGTGGGGCCTACTGGGTCCCTCCCGCAGCTTTGCTCTCTGTACAGGCTATGTACAGCACAGTGATGATGTCACTATTACATTTACAAATTAATCACTGGGCTTGTGAAGACATTTGGTGCCCATAAAGTAGATTTATATCCTTTGTTTCTATTGAGGACTATATTTAAATAAACATGTTTTTGTGTCTGGGGGTTCAGCTCTAAGGGTAAGGTGCTGAGGAAGAGGACTAGCAATGCTTACCCTTTCTGCTACAAACTTCACAGACTGTACACTAGTTCCATAAAGATTGTCATTGTATTGCCCCGCCTCTATGAATTTGTGCTCCTGGATGTCCTTTTCCATCTGTTCCCTGGATACGACAAAGTGGTAGTCTCTACCGTCCACCTCGTAGTCTCTCTTTGGTCTGGTTGTATCTACAGGAGAGCAGAGCACAATTAAACCTCACATGCTGTATTTTACAAGAAGATGCATTTGATCAAAACATTGTAAAGTGGTAACATTGTCTTAAAGTGTATCCAATCCAACATCTTTAGTGTTGTATAGTGTGGAAGGGTTAGAACCCCCATTTAGGTTTTTATTGCGGTATCGGTGTCCGCCGGGAAGATTCACCCTACCTATGTGTTCTGATGGCCATTGTTATTAGGACTGAAAGTGAATAAAAAGCAAAGGGGGTTATTCACGACGGAGCCGAAGGATACAGCTGTAGCTTCGGCTGATCCTTCGACTCGCTTCGGCCACCTGAGCCCTTCGGTTTTCGGTGGAAACGAAGGGCTGCTGCACAGGCTATTTACAATAGCCCGTACAGCAGCCGAAGGCAGCCGAGCCCATATGCTTCAGCTCAGCTGATCCGTATTCACAGCCGAAGCATTGAGAAAGGTCGGCCGAAGCTGACGATCTCTACGCAAATGATATCTGGCCGGAGCCAGCCATAATCTCACGGCTCGCTCCGCCAGTTGTAATGACAGATCAGTGTCCCCAAATGACCCGGGGATGCTAATCTGTCATTAAACAATAACAACTGGCCGTCAACGAGTGACGTCACGGCTTGCTCCACCCAGTTGATATTTATTGGCCGGGACCTGCTAGAAGACTCTGTCAGGCGCCGGTCAATAGGAAACAGTTGGGCGCAGCTAACGTTGATGTCACACGCTGACGTCCAGTTGTTTTTATTTTGCCGGCATCTGTTAGATGCTTCATTTTTTCCTTTTCTTTAAAATATTTTTTTTACGTTTCCTATTTTCAAAATTTTTTAAAAATAATTCTTCAACTTTTTTTTCATTCATTGAACTTTTCTTCTATTCTGCTTGCTACCTCGGAGGTACCGAGCAGAATAGCCGAGCCAAATGCTGCTCGGCTATTCACTTACTACCGTTTCGTTCCCTATGTGAATAGGGGCGAACGGCATCGAGTGAGCTGCCGGAGCTTCGGCTCAACCGATCCAGATGTCGGCTGCGTCGAACTCCCGCTACACTTCGGCTCACTCCACTTCGGCTGGGTTATTCACTCGGCTGCCTTTGGCATCTTTATGAATAACCCCCTAAAATGTTTGAGTTGTCACCGGATCAGCAATAGAGGTCCCATTGACAACTGTCCACGAGGGGATTCCCTTACTTAAAGGGCTCCAAAAAAAGGATTTGGCTTGAGATGTATGTTAAGTGGCTGCTTTCATTTTGTGAATGCTGATAATTCATATAATACGGAGGTCACCAGGAACCAGTGAGAGCTGGAAGCATCCAGGAGATCAACATTCCCGCAAGTGTTGGTTTCCCAGCAGACATCTGGGGACAAGAACTTGAGAATGGAGACTTGTTTGGTGGCACCAACACTGGTTCTCTTTAATAATGTTAAATTGAACAAGGAAGGTTGCAGTCCAGCCACAGTTCTGAGGATAGCTACACTTCCTGCACCCATGGTAACGCATACATCCCAATATAAATCTATTTAACATTTGTATTCTATGTAACACATACATAAATCAAGAACCCTTCGGTATATAACCCCAATGAAGTCTACTTACGTGGTACACATGATCCAAATTTTTCAGGGAATTCGGATATCAGGTCGTCGTTGATCCGATCTTTCATAGGGCCGAGGATAATGACCGGCCTGGTGTAATTAACTGTCAAGAGAAGACAAGCATGTTACCCTGTGTTTTGCACGATGCAGCACTAAGGGTTATACTTATAAAATGTTTGCAGAACTATTTACCCTGCGATTGACTTAGTTTTAGATTCACAACACGTTATGGTGACTAGGTGGAGACGTGGAGCACAGGAATACTCCTCAGCTCCATCTAGTGGCCATAATACGAATCGAAACTAATCTAAATAGTGTGAATCTAAAACTAAGATGTTCGCAGGGAGAACAGCTCTGCAAAGTTTTGTAAATACACCCCTTAAAGTAAAACTATAGTCAAAGCTGGACAAAAATATATGTTGTATACCATAAAAAAGTACTGCATTCTTTATTTCCCTTTAGCCTCCCCGTCAAGTTAACAAACTTATCTATTGGTCGTGCTGGAGGATCCCATTTCTTTTGATCATGTGACAATGCTAATTTTCCATTTCTGTATTAAGTGCAGTGTTGTCACCCTCAGGTAAGAGATGCCTGCTAGGACTAGAGTAAACATGAGTATCGCTGCCCCCTGTTCTTCGTTTCTAACAGCCCTGCTTCACCGCCACTCACAACTCCCACTGGCATGTCCACCAGATTGGCATACAGCTCTAGCGGTCATGGGAGCTGTAGTATGTTCGGCTGTGTGGATAGATCCCAAGTTAAGTTCTTTTACTAAGCGCAATGAGCAGCAGCTGGACAATACAGAAACAGCTGCTGTCTTATTGAGAGAGGCAAGTATTGTCTTGTTTTCAATGAATGGCTTAGGCACTTATTGGCACATATTTTGCTGAGTCTTTAGATGCACTTTAAAGCCCAATGGGACCTTCAGTTCATATCAGCTAAATGCATTCCAGGTGCATCCAAACAAAAGGTGTTCAATGTCTTTCAGTTTGTTTTCTTTATAAATCAGACAGTAGAAAGGCCTTAAAAGCAGTTGAAGTGCTTCCATCCAGCTTGCTTTGGAAAAGGCAACGCAAGGGGAGATGTAAGCAGGAATGGTGAAGAGGCACCTAAAGGTGAAAGTACCATCAATATACAAAGTCAATACAAGAAGAGCTTTCAGGAGCGCTCTTATAGCACCTCGACAAGGTCACCCTTTGTAATTAGAAGAAAAGCATTGTGGGGGGCGTGGCTTACCTATGGCGGCGGCTGGACGTGTGTAATTGAAGCTCCCGCTCCATCCCCGAGTTGCTCGTGACACAAGGACACTTCGCCGGACTCCCTTACTATCCTCATGGGGGGGAAAAGAGGCCAAAAGTCGGCCTCAGCCAAGAGGCCGCACGCGGGCTCACTCAAGCGCCTATGGGCAGCGGAATCCCCGCCGGATGATCGTGGGGCCCTGCACGCGCCTCCAACCCTCTCGCCAGCGCGGCCTGCGAAGGCCTCTACCCACCATCACCGGCCTGGAAGGGATGATACCTCGGCCCAGTCGGAGGCGGAGGGCTCGGATGATGGCTCCGAACTGTCGATGCGCACCTTGGCACGATCCATGCCGACCAAGCGGGAGCTGTCGGCGATGTTTCTTCGCCTGGAGACCTCTATTAAGTCGGACCTGACGGCGCTCAGGTCCGAACTCTCGCACACGCTGCACCGCGTGGAGGCCGCGGAAGACCGCCTGGATGAACACACACAAGCGATCCGAGAGCTCCAACATCAGGGTAAGCTATCCTGGCTCCACACTCGCCAAGCGCTGTACAAGATCGAGGACCAGGAGAACAGAAACCGCAGGAACAACCTGCGTCTCCGAGGCCTGCCTGAAGCCACGGGTGACGCAGACCTCGCGGACACTGTCAGGGGCATCCTCAATTCCATACTGGGTCGACCCCCTACCTCTACTCTCCTGTTTGATCGGGCGCACAGGGCCCTGCGGCCCAGAGCACTGGCGGGAGAACTGCCCCGAGACGTCATAGTGCGGCTCCACTACTACACAGATAAGGCCCTGATCTTCACACACCTAAAATCCTCCTCTGAAGTGGACTTCGATGGGGCGAAGATTCAACTCTTCCCTGACCTCTCTCCGGAGACACTTGCTCGCAGGCGCCATCTCAGACCCCTCCTGAAGTTGCTGAAGGATGCCCATATCCCATACAGATGGGGGTTCCCCGCCTGCCTCATAGCTACCCGGGAGGGTAAATCAGCGATACTGCGCTTCCCTGAGGAGCTGGCAGAGTTTTGCGCCAAGCTGGAGATCTCCATGCCGGAATTGCCTGAGTGGGCCGACCGACCGCCAGAATGGCGTTTCTCCCCTTCATCCCACTGGCAACAAGCTGCTCCGAAACCCCAGAGGGGCTCCCGGCACAGGCCTTCATCCCATTCTGCCCCGGGAGATTGATTTTTCCACCGCCCTCTTGCCGTTTTGCGGGCATTACCGCATATTGTTGCTCGTTTAGAGCTCCACTGAGGTGCCCTCCCCTGCTGCCTGTCAGGGGCACCGGGCGAAGTTGTCCTAAATTTTTCCCTTTTTTTTCTCTCTTGTTTTTTGGTTAAAGTCACCTGTTTGATCTGAGTTGGACCGTTATGTTATGGTTTTTTTCTGTACGACTGTTTGCTAAAAATTTCAGCCAAGTATGTCACATGTAATTTGTATGCACTCGGGGAGTGGGGGGGAGGTTTCGGCCGCACGTATAAGAAGTCACACTGCATTTTTGTATGTGGACTGCAGGCCCTGCCGTACGAGGCCCTCCACCCCCACTAGGCCATGCCTTCCCGGGGAGCCCTTGGCCCCGCGAAAAGGCATCTGCTGCCGTATTTGCGGCACTTAGTGTAAAGCAGAAGATTCTGCCCATGCCTGTTCCCTTCTGTGTCCCCCCTGCCTTTGTCTACCTCCCTTATGTATGTACCTTATGTGTCGTGAACTTGCTCTGGTCCTCAAGGTCTTTTGCGGAGACCCCCTACGGAATGTATCAATGGCGGCTTTAAAAATAATCACGTATAATGTAAGGGGCCTTAACTCCCCACGTAAACGCTACCAGATCCTGATGGAGATTGACAGAAGCGAAGCTGATGTAGTCTTCCTGCAGGAGACGCACCTCTCCTACATCTCTCCGACACTGATTAAAGCCCGCCACTATCCGCTCTGGTACTACGGGGCATCCCCCACTAAACGTGCTAAAGGAGTCGCTATTGGGTTCCGAGGGGGTCTCTCGGTGCAAATCGGAGAACGTTTGACTGACCCGGAGGGTCGCTATCTGATTATGCGGGTAGCTATTCAGGGGGTTGAGTTTACGTTGGCTAATGTGTATGCCCCGAATGTACATCAGGTGTCCTTCTTGGGACGGGTCTTGGGCAAAATAGAGGACTTCCGTAAAGGTAGACTACTTCTGGCGGGGGACCTGAATTTGTGCATAGATCCCCTACTGGACGCATCCTCAGGGGCCACACGCAATCCGCCTTCCCATCTTGCTTCCTTGCGCAGGGCCCTCCACAAGTCTCAGCTGGTGGACGCGTGGCGCCTCCTTCACCCAGGGGTCCGAGACTATACGCACTTCTCTTCGGTCCATTCCACTTATTCCAGGATTGACGTGATCATGTTGGATCACACTCTCCTGGAAAACTTACAATCAACAGCGATCCTACCTACCACGATCTCGGATCACGCGCCAGTAATGCTCTCACTGTCTCTGGACTCCCTGGGTGACAGGACGTTTAATTGGAAACTTAATGATTCCCTACTGCACGACCAGCTGATCTCGGCAGAGCTGTCGCAGACTTTGGCTTCCTACTTCGCTGCCAACACCTCTCCCGAGGTCTCGGCGGCATGCACGTGGGAAGCCCACAAAGCTGAGCATGCACGTGGGAAGCCCACAAAGCTGTTCTGCGGGGCAGGCTGATGGCTGTGGGGGCCAGGCGTAAGAGGGAAAGGATGGCGACCATGGCGGCATTGCTTAAGGAGATCCAACGTTTAGAAACGTCCCATAAGAGCCTACAAGACCCTCAGACCCTCCAAGAGCTACTGTCCAAACGTAATGAATTGAGACTCCTACTAGAACAGAACACCACGAAAGCCTTTAATATAGTCTCCCGTAAATATTACGAAATGGGGGGCAAACATCTCTAAGATTAAGACGAACAAGGGATGCATGGCACATACCACCACGGCCATTGCGGAAGTTTTCAGCAATTATTACCAGGACCTCTACCAAGTGAACGATTCAGAT